CCTTGAATAACACAAACTATAATAACCCACCCAATATGAAAGAAAACTTTAACAGTTCTACAAACATTAAACAAACTGAATTTGAAATTAAAACACTCCCCAAAAAGGATATTTCTAGGCCAAGATGGTTTCATTGGAGAATTCTACCAAAGATTTAAGAAATAATTAGTACCACTTGAACACAATCCTCTCCTAGAGAGCAGAACACTTTTCAACTCAATCATGAGGCCAGAATTAACCCTGGTGTTAAAACCAGACCAAGACAACATAAAACACCAAAACTACAGACCAGTATCTCTCATGAACTTAAACACAAAAATCACCAAACAATTAGCAAGCCCAATTTGACAATAACTAAATGGAAATGACTCAGATACACAATGGTGGTTCAATAATGGAAAATCCATTAATGTAATGTGCCATATCAAATAGAGGATAAAGAAAAGTTATTATATCAACCAACAGAAAAAGCATCTGACAAAAACCAAAAGCCTATATATAATAAAACTCAACAAGCAAGGTACAGAGGGGAACTTCCTTGAATTTGTAGAGCACTTACTACACTAATATAAAGCTTAATAAAGATAAATGCTTTCTCCTAAATCTGAGAACAAGGCAAGGTTTTCATCACTTTTATTACTCCTATTTGGCATTGTGTTAAAAGTTCTAGGCAGCATAATAAGGCAGGAAAAATGAATAAAAGGCATAAACATTTAAAAAGAAGCAGCACAAACTATCCCTATTTACAGATGACACGACTATCTACACAGAAGGCCCCAAGTGATCTCAATAAAAAAAAAAAAACCCTTCTAAAATAAGTGAGTTCAGCAAGATCAAAAGATATATGACCAACATGTAAAAAATCAATTACATCTGACTATACTACCAACATACGGAAACAAAAATTAAAAATACAATACCATTAAAAAAAATAAAAACACCATTTACAATCACTACAAAGGAAATCACACATTTAGGATAAATCAAACAAAACATGTATAAAATGTGTATGTTGAAAATTACAGAATACTGATGAAAGGAATAAAAAATAAATGGGGAGCTATAGTATAGCTGAAGAGTCAACACAGTAAAAATGTCATTTCTCCCCAATGTGATCTCAGTGTTAACTCCTATCAAAATCTCATCAAGGTTTTTTTGTAGGCACAAAGTGAATATAAAATTTATAGGGAAAAGCAGAGTAGCTAACATATGGAAAAGGCAAGAAATCTTTCACTTAAAATTGGAGTAAGCACTCTATCTGATGTTAATACTTACTATTTACCTATACTAATAGACAGTGTAGTATTGACAGAGGGATGAATAGGCACACGGATCAAGGGAGAATATAGAATTCAGGATTCAGACAAACATTACAAACTGATTTTTGACAAAGATGAAAAAACAGTTCTTCAGGAAAGGAAGGATAGCCTTTTCAATAAATTGTATGGGAACAAACGGGCATCTACAGGCAAAAAAGAGAATCTTGACTTGAATCTCACATATAAAAATCAACTAAAAACGGACCACAGATTTCAATATAATATGTAAAACTTTAAAATTTTAGGGAAAAAGAAAAAAAAAGAAAATCTTCAGGACCTAAGGCTGGCCAAGAGTTTTAGGTCTGACTTGACAAAAAGTATGATCCAGGGGCGCCTGGGTGGCTCAGTCGGTTGGGCGTCCAACCTAAGCTTAGGTCATGATCTCACAGTCTGTGAGTTCGAGCCCTGCGTCGGACTCTATGCTGACAGCTCAGAGCCTGGAGCCTGTTTCAGATTCTGTGTCTCCCTCTCTCTCTGATCCTCCCCATTCATGCTCTGTCTCAAGAAAAATAAAAATGTTAAAAAAATAAAAAGTATGATCCATAAAATGAAAAATCAAAGCTCATCAAAATTAAATACTTCTGCTATGCAAAAGATTCTCTAAAGAAAATGAAAAGATTAGCTACAAGAGTAGGACATAGTATTTGAAAAGCACATACCTCAGAAAGGACTAGAATATATGAAGAACTCAAAATTCAACAGTAAAAATAACCAGACATTTCACCAAAAACAATATACAGATGGTAAATAAGTACATGAAAAGATATCCCACATCACTGTCATCTAGAGTAATTCAAATTACACCACGAGATATCACAACATACCCAGCAGAATGAACAAAATAACATCTTTGATACCACCAAATGCAGGCAATGATATAAACTGGATCACTCATATATTGCCCAGGGAAATGTAAAATGGTATAGCAATTCTGGAAAATAGTTTGGCAGTTTATCATATAACCCAAGATTGCACTCTTGGACATTTATACCAGAGAAATGACAACTTATGTTCATGTAAAAATCTGTGCCTAAATGTTTAGTAGCCTTATTCCTAAAAGCCAAATACTGACAACAAACCACGTGTCCTTTAAACAGTTGAATGGTTAAATCAAATATGGTACATCTATGCCATGGAATACTATGCAGGAATAAAAAGGAATAAGCTGTTGATATATGTAACAACTTTGATGGATCTGAAGGGAATCATGCTGTAGGGGTAGGAGTATGCATACAAACGGATAGCAAGAGACACACTTCTGGTGATGAAAAAGTTGTGCATTATGATTATGATAGTTATGCACATCTATACAATGTGACAAAAAGTACACAGAACTACACATACATATAAATAAGTACCTGAAAAATTGATGAAATCTGAACATGGTCTGTAGATTGAACCTATATCAGTTTCCTGATTTTGATATTAGGCTACAGTTATGCAAAATGTTACCACTGTGGGAAAGTGATGGAGGGTATGGGGGACCAACCTGTAGTTTAACAGAAAATTCCAATAAATCTATAGTTATTTCAAAACAAAATAAAAAAAAATTCCAAAAAACAAAAAACCTGAAAAAGAAATATCCAGGCCCTGATGGTCTCACTGGTGAATTTGAACAAATTTATTTAAGAGAAAAAAATACCAATCTTACAGAAGTATTTCTGAAAATAAAGAACAGTACTCTTTCAAATCAGTATGTGAGGGTAGCAAAACCTGATAAATGTGTACAAAAAAGGAATATTATCGGTCAATATTCCTTATGAATACAGACCAAAAAATCTTAACAAAAGGTTAATAAAATAAACAGAGCACCATATTTATAAACTAACAGACCACAGCTAAGTTAGGCTTACCTAGAAACAAAGGCTGATATAATACTGAAAGATTCAATGAAATGAATCACAAGAACTGTGGGGAGAGGATAATCAAATCTGAATCTGCTCAAGCGTTTGAAACGGAAAACTATCAATTAAAAGAAAACTGCAGTCCCCACCTCTCACCTCACCCCAAGAGTAAAAAGGGGCATTTAAAAAGATATCTCTAAGTCTCTTAGTAGTCAAATGAAATCAGGGAGAGTCTTATCAGCAACTGGAAAACATATATGCAAAAGCTTGCCTGTGAGTCAACATTTTTACACTTTGTTGTTTTAAAGTTTATTGATTTTGAGAGACAGGGAGTGCGAGTGGGGGGAGGGGCACAGGCTCAGCGTGGAGCCTGACACAGGGCTCCATCCCAACACTGGGATCATGACTTGAGCTGAAATCAAGAGTCAGACGTCTATCCAACTGAGCCACCCAGTTGCCCCTATCATTACTATTCTGTCTTCAACTTCCTACTAGTTGTAGACTCTATTTAATAATTAATATTTTCATATTAAGGTTGACAAAATAAGAAATTGAATTTTGTTTAAAGATTTAGAATACCATTAACTGTGAGAATGATTTGGAACCTGTTGTCTTTTCACTTGCCTTTCAAATCACACATTAACTTATGACCTTAAGATATGTATCAAGTAGGGATTATGTTATTATAGAAGCTAGAAATCAAATTAAACCTTAATTTAAAAAATAATTTCTCCATAAAGAACACACAAGGTATTTTCAACTATTCTCAGAAAAACACTAAGGCTACAAAATCCTGTGATCACTGTCATTAACAGAGATACTACTGTGAACTCCTTGTGACTCATAAGTGCCGTTTTTTTTTTTCATCACCATATCTCAAACCTTTCATGTGTCAATTTTGAAACTTCAAGTAGTAGAAGAACAATGGTTAGAGTATGTAAGTTCCAATACTGCTGCTAGAAATGACTTAAGGTGTACTAAAAAGAGGAAATACCAGTAGCCTCCTGCACACCAGGATGAAGAACAAAACAACAGAAGAAAATAATTTAACATAAAATATTATTTATTTCTAATTATACTTGATATTCATTGTGGTGTCCACAAATTGGAGTCTTACAGGAATAACCTTTAGAGACAACCTCCAGGAAGTTATGTTTGCATTCCTTCTCACCTTACCCCACCCCAAAGATGCGCCAAAGAAGCATCTTCGTGCTCTTCTAACAATCCGTGCGAGGAAGAAAGAAGCCTATGCCTTTTAAGATTGAATAGCGTAGTACAGAAAAGGAAATATTAGCAATTGCTAATTGCTTGACTGGAAGCAGATAATATTGGGAATCTTTGCCTGTTTCTGTGAAAATTTGGGGTTCAGTTTCTTTAGGTGTAGAACAAACATTAATACGTATCTTGGCATATTATCATAAAGATTAAATAAAAGAACGTAACATATCATATAAGGTGCTTCATATAAGTAGGGAAGAAACAGTTCACAAATAGGGAGTTCAAAAGAAAGGAGAAACATTCAGAGATGGTAGCTCTATTTTCATTATTTTCTAACCAGCAGCAAGCACATGCTAATCAAAATCATTAAGAATATTAGATAACTTATATCCCATATGCCAAAGAAAACATGTGACTTACATAAAACACTTAAGAAATAAATTGTAAGATTAACAATGAAAACTAGTGATTATATTACAAATACACTTTTAATATTACAGATTGAGAATTTGTGAGTTTGCTTATTTGGGAAGTAATACCTAGAGATGAAGACCTAAAGCATAAAGTACACACCCCTCTGATGAATTTAAATCTTCTTTTTAAGAATTAAACACCTCACCTAATCAGAACAGAGTCCCTGGTATAGCCACCATCATATTCGGTAGTTTCTTCTAGTGCTTGGAAGTCTAGATTCTGCAAATTCAAGAAAATGTATCTTAATATATATACATCATTACAAACAATAAATCGATATATTTTTTGCAGACACTTTTTGCTTTCTTACCCGGCTTCCACATATAAGCAATTCAATTTCCTCTGGTCTGAATAAATATTTTAAGGGAGATTCATTGGTCACCATATGAAAACCTCTCCGAAAAGCCTTAAACTGTTTTTCTACTGATTTATTGAGAATGTAGTCAGAATAGAGATTGACAAATTCCTGCAGAAAACATTAACCACAAGAACTTCTTATAATATGCTATATAAACAAAACATAACAAGCTACTCAGCTGCATAGCTTTTAGTTTTGTTTTCATTTTCCCCAAGAAAGAACAAACACTCAAAAATATTTTTAAAGATTCAAACTTTATACATATAAAGGAAAATACAGGAATACCTCAGAGATATTGTGGTTTTGGCCCACTGCAATAAAGTGAATATTGCAATAAAGCAAGACAAATGAATTTTTTGGTTTCCCAGTGCATATAAAAGTAATGTTTACACTATATTGTAGTCTATTAAGATTGTAATAACACTATGTCCAAAACAATGTATGTTCCTTAATTTTAAAAATACTTTACTGCTAAAAAATGCTAACCATCATTTGAGCTTTCAGCAAGTCTTAATCACTGATCACAGATCACCGTAACAAGTACAATAATGATGAAAAAGTTTGAAATAAAATGAGAATTAACCAAATGTGACACAGAGTGAGCAAATGCTGTTTGAAAATTGGTGCTGACAGACTTCCTCGACACAAGGTTTCCACAGTTGATTTGTAAAAAACCCAACATATGCAAAATGCAATAAAGTGAAGCTCAATAAAATGAGGTATGCCTGTACCTTTAACAATTTCACAACTTTTTGCAATAGTAAATACTGAACTATAAAAAGCCCACCTAAACTAATTATACACGTAAGTTTCAAATTTGATACTGTATTAAACCAGACTTAAAATAAAAGCTGGGCCTTAATGCAATTTTGACATTCCCTCAACCAAGTGTACAAACACAGACACATTTAAACCATGTATACATCCATTTATAAAACCTAACAACTGCAATGTACCGGATTTGAGCAAACCAGGAAGCCTCATGTTGTCTGTGCTAGAATATTTAGGAAGCTGCCTACTGTACCCAGTTCAGCAAAAATGTGGGTGTTTTACTAGATACATAAGCTGTTATACCAAATTATAAAAGGCAAGTGAATCCTAACTTAGACATTATAATATTTTATCAAGTTACATTATTATAAAATGTTTTATGGCCATAATGTGTCACTCACTATCTACTATTCCTGCCCCCTTTCTTGAAAAGGGGTTTAGTGCCTAACTATGTGCTCTCATACCAGCTTACATCCAAGATTTAGAAAACTGGGGCTATTTCATTTAAAAGAATTTGAGTATTTGATTTCTTGAGTTTTTGTATGGACTATTTTAGATACTTCTTTATCACAAGTATATATGCTTTAAAACTCTGTTAATAAAGAGACAAAGACAATGATGATATAAAAACATGGATTACCTTCCTGTTTTCATTTGTAATTGGAATTTTATCACCATTTTCCTTTAGATCATACATCATTGGATTACCAAAAAGGTCTGTCTGAGATATCTGGAAAGTGATCATCATGTCATCTTCTACATTCCCTTCATATTCCAGTAAATCTTTTAAACTCTGATATAGGACCTAACAACCAGAAATGACAAATTAGGCTACCACAGAGCTATAAAATATAAGTTAGCATCATTTTTCTTGGGGAAAAAAAATGACAACAAAGACTAAAGAATAGGAAGTATACTTCTTGTCCCTCAAATAGTTTACTCTAAAGAAAGACTGTCAGTCACTGGTATGTACCATCCAGTGCTGAGAAAACCACAGCATCAATTTAGCAATGGATTTCACACTGTGCTCTATGAGTGAACCTCAGGTGTCTCATAGTGAGGGAAGGATTCGAGACAGAAACAACATACTAACTGTAGCCACCAAGTCCCTTATCCAGAGCAGTTCTGATTTCAAGTGGCAATCTCATGTGTTTTAAAAAACAAACAATGTTTAAAAACCCTTTTCTACAGAATCAATTTTACAAAACCTGCTTGCTGAAAGTAATATATAATAAATTTCCTGAGTTTTTAGGTATTCATGGTACTGCAACAGGTTAAAACAACTTTAACTTATTAGGTATAAATATTAACAAGTGAAACTGATTCCAAATGAAAACTGTAGTTTTTTTACATAAATTATAGTTTTGCATTTAAATAAAGCTAAATGATCAAATAAAAAATGCCAGACTTACAGGGTGAGAGTCTCCCAGATCACGAAAAGTTCCTTTTTTCCCCATTAGCTTCCTGTAGACAACCATGGGAAAATGTACATCCAGTATACAGTTATTGTAAATAGCCAGACCCAGCACTATACCAATCAGAGTGAACTGACCCTCAGTTTCAAAAGAGGATGGATTAAACCAAAATAATTTTGTAGATTCATCATATGTGAACATACCTATAAAAAAGGATTTTAAAAAAATACATTACTTTTCTATTTTATTAAATAGACTAATGAACAATACAAACATAAAATAATTACACATGCAAACTTATACATAGTAGGCATACAAAAATTGTTTTTTCTATTACATCAGCACTTGAGAGACCACAGTTCAAATATATGTGATTGTTATAAATTGTGGCAAATGGTAGTATGTCATTTTAAGAAGCCAAGGAAAAAGGAAACAAGTAGCAGGCAATTTTGGCTGCATTTTTCAAAACGGAAAAATGTTCATTAAATTCAATTCTCTAATCTTCTACTAATACAAATAAGAAATTAATTTACTACATCCACTGGTTGATTGAAAATGAATGCAAAACCAAAAGGAAAAAAGCTACCATATTTTTAAAATGTTTCACGTATAAAAACATGTTTAATCTACATGTGCTGTTTTCAAAAACCAATTTTAAATTTCATTAAAGAAAAGTTTTTGTTTTTCCAAAACTGCACAATGATCCTATGAAGTTTTTCTAACTCCTAACGAAGTCAGATGAAGTCAAGTACATAAACTTGAATAAATTTGATAAAGGTAGATTACGTCCAAAATCCAAGGCTATTTAATATACATACACGTTAATTGTGAGCCAGTGAGTAAAACAAAAGTAGTTTGTATTTGTAGCCTTCTTTCAATTTCATATGTTTTTCACTATTCGAAACCCAAGCTTGGAGATTTTTTTTGTAACATTCATCTTAAAAAGTAGGAATGTTTCAGGGCGCCTGAGTGGCTCAGTTGGTTAAGCGTCTGACTTGGGCTCAGGTCATGATCTCATGGTTCGTGGGTTCTAGCTCAGCTTCGGGCTCTGTGCTGGCGGCTGGGAGCCTGGAGCCTGCTTTGGACTCTGTGTCTCCCTCTCTCTCTGCTCCTCCCCCACTCACACTCTCTTTCTCTCTCTCTCTCTCTCTCAAAAATAAACATTAAAAAAACAATTAAAAAGTAGGAATGTTTCGTTTACCTATCTAAAACCATTACTAAGACAGAATTATCTTCTTCCTTTAAACAAACAGAATATCTAAGGAAAGGTTATATGATACTTTAATGAATTTACGATTTTTCTTACTTTACTAAAATGTTTTCAGTTGCTACTGTGCAACTGAATGAAAATATTTTAAGAATTAGGTCTGAAAAGGGCAATTTCCAATAGAACAAACTTTAGAAATCAATTTGGCACATAAATATGTCAATTCATATGATTTTTGAAAGCTTTAAAAATGTTTATTTTCACATTTAGCTTAAGTTAAATACAAAGGAACCGTAAAATGTCCCCTGGATCATAAGAGTACAAAGTAAGCTAGGACGTTTTTCTAATGGAAGTTACAATTCACAAAATAACAGTCTGAAAATCATCCAATTCTTATCTGAATTTCAGTTTAGATCTAAATTTTTTTTACAAGTCTAAGTTACAAGATTCATTGAAGTAAAAAACTTCACTTAGTTATAAATATGGTATGAACAAAGTCAAGAACAGTTGAAAACAATAAATTTGATGAAATCTCACAAATGTATGTCCTTGGTCTCAAGAGCAATAAACTAAATTAATCAGAATATAAATTACACAGGTCATTACTCTCCTGTGTATGAAATGAAGGATAATAATTTTAAGGTTCAAAGTGATCTATTTTGGGCACATTTTTGCCAGGTCCCTGGAAGAAATGCACCATAAAAGGTAGTTCTTATAAAAGATTCTATTTTGGTATATTTAACCAAATATTCCATATTTGGTATTTTTAACCATTTCAATTACTTTACTATCAAGTAGAACTGTTTATGTTTTTTTTCTGAAAGTATTTCTGCATATAATGTAAGTATATTTTATTTACAGCTAATGTTTTACATGTTGAGACACAAAGGAATCCAGAGCAAAGGTTTACCAAACCTGTGAAGCTCATAAATTAATTTTCTATCACAAAAAAGGCATGATTTTATGTGTCTTGGTTTACTTTGAACAAATTATATGCAAATTACACAGCTTTCTGATTATTAATAAACATTAGCTAAAATTATAGTCTTACTTTAACTACATTTATGTCATGAACTCAAAACGTCTATGTCCATTTGCACGTTTGTGTGTATATATGGCCAGCTAAGAACAATAACAGAAAAGTCAATTCAATGTACATACTGACAATCAACAGGCTGTAAGAGCTCAATTCTCAAAGCTTAAAGGAAATGATCTGCATTATTCTATGTCATATTCTTCACAATTCTAAAAGTACCTTTAGCGGAATCCTTTTCCTATGATGGTCATGCATTGTTTTTAAAAGTAAGCAAACCTGGTAACCAAGTAAGTGGTTACATCGCATAAACTGAATCAGTTCAGAATTATCTATCCAAGAAGCTGTTGTCTTTTACCACTTCCACTGTGCCTACTTGTCTACCAGTAAAATTCAAATCCTTCAACTTTCAGACTGAGATATGTAGATCAGTTTTTCCCAAACTGTTCAATGAAAAAACACTTCTGAGAGACAAATGTTATTAAAGGTGGGGTGGAAAAAGGCTTCTGAAGTTCAAAAACTTTGGGAAAGCATAATATTAAGCCTCCTGAAATCCTGTAGTAAATAAACCTAATTAATTTGATACCAGTCAGGGTTTCCAAACTTTGAGCATGATACACTTGTGAGACATTCTCAACATTCTTCAGACAATTGCTGTATGAAACTCTCATTTCAGAAATGCCGTGAGTCTGAAGAATGTTTTCGAATAAAAAGAGCAAAGAAATCCTTCAATTGTTCTAATGTACCATTCTAAAGGGTTTTCAATTTGACTTACCTAAAAGGCAATTTCCTACAGTAAAATATTTGGCTAAGTAATCTAAATAAGAACTTGAATAAATGAGTGATGCACATCACTCCCCCAAACCCAAATTCAGTCATTTTCTGTGATTCTAGGAAATCTATACTGAAACCTACTGTTTACTCTTTGTAACTGAGAATATTTATAAACCTAGGTAAACAAACCCTTAAATCAAAAAGATATGACATCATGATCACATCACTAAAATATTTACCAATATCTGGATTGAAGATTTCCTCCACAACCAGCTGAAAAAATTCTTTGGAAACACCTCCCTCATCAACTCCTTGTTCTCCTTCAAATTCCACATACAACTGTTTCTTCAAGTCTGCAGGATTTTCCATAGCGATCATCTCTAGCTAGTGAGTGAAAAGATAAAGTGAAAAGAAGGTGACTGCCAGTTTAAGGATGAAAGCAAAATAAAAATAAGTAGAAAAAATAAAAACAAGGATTCAGGCTATGGAGCAAATAAAAGATACTGACTTTTGGTTTGTTTTAAATGGAAACAGGAAGCAAACCAGTAAAAAGCCAGTAAAGGCAAAGATTCAGTTTCACAGATAATGGAAAAATAGGACAGAAAAGAAATCGGCATAGAATAATAAAAGAGTTACTTTCTAACTATTGATTTGTCATGAAATTAACATATAGTAGAAAATTAAAATTAGATTTTCTGTTACTTCTGTATAACAAACCTGGGCTCTAAAGGTTAGGACATGGAAAGAAGTCAACACAGCCAAATACATAAGTGACTACTCAAACTAAATCATTTCAGCAAAAACAACAGAGTACAGAAGTTTGACTTCAAGTTTGTTTGCCAGTAAGTCTTTATGTTTAATAGAATAGAAACTAAGGAATTAAGTTTTGTTATCTATTAAGCCATGAATAAAATACTTTCAATTAAGAGAAGAAACATATTGGGTAAATAGGGAGCAGCTTATGGTCTCTTATAGCACTTAATACAAACTGCCACGTCTTGATGGAACCTAAGACATCTTATATATACTTTTTTTTGAAAGCAGATGAGATTTATGCTTGCTTACATCCTTACTTTTAATTTCTTACTAACAGTTACATTTTTCAACTATAAATCTTTACTAGATACTTTTTTGAATCTATAGAATACACAGTAAGTGATCTCAGTCATTAAGAGATTAATCAGAAAATACACACTAAATACTAATGTGAACTATTTATACTTCCAGTTTTTAATGTATTTGAAATTTACTAATAGCATGCCTGACTGATCACCCGCTTTATTTGCTAAATAGACTTAAAATGCCTTCTGGTGGTTAAAAAATTTGAAATTTGCCAAAACAGTATTTACAAGTGTTCAAGTTATTCCAACCATTGCAATTATAATTTTAAAAATGGTTTTGAGCAATGCAAACATCATCAAAACAACTGTACTATAGTCCTCAAGCAATTACTTTAGGTAACAGTACTGGTTTGGACATTCTAGTATGTCTATAGAAAAATAATATCTCAAATTCATGAATCCGGACAGTTGTCCTAGATCAATGTTTTTCAAACTGTCAACTGCCACTCATTAGTGGGCAGCCCAATTCATTTAGTGGTTTAAAATTAACAACGGGAGGAAAGAGAATGTGTTCCACATAGTAATGGCATCAACCATTTTGTGAAACTTTTGTTTCAACTATAAGTATAGACAGATACACATACATGTATGTACCTACGCTATGTAAAGTATCACTTTCCTACTTGGGAATACAGTCAAAAAAGTTTTAAGAACAAAGGCTGAAATAATCTAGATATCTTCAACTTTTGGAGTCTGTGAATTTAGAATCTTTAGCTTTAAGAAATGTCCTGTGTAACAATGGTCTTTAATATTTACCAAAAAAAAATTTATGCCAAGTTTTTAAAGATAATTTATTTTTGTGACAGAGTGTTGTGAATTGAGACAGAATAAATACTCTGTAGTTGTTCCAACTATCACTTAACTTTTAAACTTTAAATTTTAGCAAGCGACTCAGGTAAGCCTGTTTCCTCATCTGCAGAGAAAAAAAAGGGATAGTACTCTTCATACTGCAAAGATGTGAAGGCTTAATAAAAATATACAGAAGAGTTCTAGAGCAGACAATATTACTAAGATAACACATCATGTTGCAACCTTTTAAAACAACTTTGATCTTTGAACATAAGATTCATAATTTGATTTTATAGCCTAGTCCCAAGTTTGAAAGAACCTTGGGGAAAAATAGTTCCAGTTGGAAACCTGCTTCAAGCCACAGAAAATAAAGAATGTTGAGAACTAAATTAGAATTATCAGCTCCAATGTGGTTTACCCATCACGCCAACATCCTATATTGCCATGGAACGCATTCCTAGTTTCCTTCTTCCAGTTCCCACCTGCCTAGGTGTCAAAGGAATATAAGTCAATGTTTATATATATGCCCTTATAACACAAAGACAAATCTGCTTATATCAAAAGTATAATGCATTCTGAGGTGAAAAAACTGATTATCTGCTATTTAAATTATACTTCCTATAGTCCTCTTTATTAACATTCACAAATGAGAGCTGACTCCATTATCAATATGATTGATATCTTTTAAAGGATTCGGTGTCGATTCTACAGGATTCAGAGGCCATGTGTTGTAGTCTTAGTTCCACCTAAGACACCTCATAGGACACTGAAACAAATTTATCTTCATTCCTTTTTTTTTTAAAAGATGTTCCTAATACCTTTTTTTTTTTTTTTTCCTAGAGAGAAAGAGAGAACATGTGAGCAGGGGAGAGGGGCACATGGAGGGAAAGAGAATCTTAAGAAGGTTCCACACTCAGTGCAGAGCTCAACATGGGGCTTGATCCCACAACCCTGGGAACATGACCTAAGCTGAAATCAAGAGTCAGATGCTCAACCAACTGAGCTACCCAGGAGCCCCTAACTTCATTCTTATAAAATATTAAATGTCTGTCTGTCTCCATCAATCTCCACAGTGCTCTCCACCCTGAGTGCCAAAATAATTCAATATAATATTTTATAATTATAATTGTAAACATATAGCTTTCTTTCTTTGCTTTAGTTTCATCTATAAAATGAAAATGATATAATAAAAAATTAATATATGTGAAGCACTAGATGAATTCCCTGTACAACAACGCTTTTGTTATTGTTACTTTTATTTGTACTAAAAATTCTTTCAGGCATGCCTGAAAACCTAACAACCCAGATATTACAGAACAAAAATATTTCAGTAACAACACAAGAATAATATATAGCACTTATGTGCCAGGGCACTATTCTCAGCACTTTACATATATCAATTAACTGCATTTTCACAACAATCTTATGAGGCCAGTAATACTATCAATCCCATTTTACAGATGAAGTCTCCAAAGTCATGAGAGGTTCAATAACTTGCTTTTAGTGTTAGTAAATAGAACAGATTCTAATCCAGAAGGAAGCTTTTAACTATTATGCCTTCCTGCCTCTCTTCAATAACTAGCAATAATCTTTTTTGAAATTGTAAGTGACTTTTATTTTCTTCATGTTTTCTGTATTTTCAATTAGTTTTTACAATAAACATGTATTTCAGAATCAGGATGTAGTCACATGTAAATATGTAAAAAGAATGATTTTAAAAATAGATGGCAACTGAACTCTGCAGGCAAAAATTTCCATTACCTATGTTCTATACTTAATATATATAAGTATTTATATATACTATATACTTAATATATACCTAGGTATATATTAAGTGGTTCTGTAAAATACTTTATCATTTATGTATACATGGGCAGTCTACCTTTAAAAACAATGTTTACTTTTAATTATAGCATAAAATTTGCCAGTTACCATTTGACAAAGGCCATTAAGGGGCTACATTTTTATTTTTCTTAAACACAACCACTTCTGACCCACTGTTCAATCAGAGAATGATTTCAGAACTGAATTGTAAAGGTATACAACTTTCTGTAATAAATACATAGCATTTAAAACAGAATTATGAAAATCAAAAGCTGTCTTGAATACAGGATACTTGGAAATTGAAAGACTAGGTCAGTGAACATTCTGAAAAGGAGTATTTGTATGCATCCTTGAATTGAAATCATTTAGTATACAGACTTGTAGTTTTATAGATAGGTTTTCTTAAAGTAGGGTATATTTTGTATTAATTTAATATGAAGACTAGCAAAATGCGATTACTGGGTTAAAATAAACAACAGACTGGATGTAATAACATCTACCTCTTCCTTATATGACTTCCTCTTCTTACTAAGACTCTTGATTTCATCAATTGTTGGATAAAACGATTTTCAATTTCTGAACTTTTAATTGGCCATGATGATGAAATCCTAGAGAGATCATTTTTTAAAAAAATTGATCTGGTATCAAAGCATTCCCAGAATACCTAGGTAGGATGACATCTTAATATAAAAATATCATACTTGCCAGATGCAAAAGCGTTAAAAGGAAAACCCTATCCTTTAAAATCTTACAGTATTCTGGGCTATTATTATTCATGACAAAGTTATCTTTACCCATAGTTGAAAAAATTCCTTAATGGTATGGATATTTAAGTAGTATTCACATAAAATAGACCTAATTCTTAAGAATGCCTACGTTCTCTAAGAATGGCTGGCTTAAAACAACTTCAGTCAACTTATTAGACTCTATGGTTAAACAGTTTGTTTACACCTTTAAGCTACTGACTGGAGCAAGATCTTTAGATTATTTAAGTATATTTAATTTTTTCATTTATCTATGAACAGATAAAGTGTGTTTGTTTTTTTTTTTTTGTTTTTTTTTTACTATTTTACACATAAAGTTTAGATGTTTCGGTAACAGCCAAATCATTTAATCATATCTGCTTGTGAGACCAGGAACCCTGAGTTCTAACAGTTCCAATCCTGCCATTAATTTATACAGGCCAGAATCTGAGATTCATTTTTCTCACATGTAACAGTAAGGAGTTTCACAAATTTCTTTTTTTTAGATTATTATATGATGCGGAGAATCTATGTAGATCTGCTTCATTCTCCTAATCTCCTTTGAGTACATAAATCAGACATGAAGTTAATTTCCTTTAGAATAAATCTTAAGAAACAATAATCATCATTGCATTAAGCACAATAAAGTGAATGTACAAGATAAAATTAATCATACTCAGAACAGCACAAGATAATCTGATTCTTAAAGCACTGTAGATCAATTGTTAAATAAAAGAATCAGGTTTTATTTAAATAACTAAGGGTGTGTGTCAAGGAAAATACTGGGGGCTGGGTCAGACAGTACTGTTAGAGCCCAGAAAAAAATGAATGATTTTTTTACAGGGGACTGAGCAGAACTAATTGGTAGTAGGGGGCTTTTCATTTGTGCTTATCATATTTATCTGTTCCAGTTCACAGTTTTGGACTTTCCTATCCAGTTCTACTCAGCCATTCCTTTCAGTCTTTAGATCCCCACTCAAAATTCTAGGATTCCCAGAACCAAGAACTTAATCTGAACCAAGTCTCAGACCACTGTCAATCCTATTTCTACACCTGCTATTTTCACCACCTTTTCAAAGACTGCCAGTTTTCCCAGTATGTACTTGTATATAAAAATGGCCTCAATAAATATGTATATATAAACCGTACTAGTTGCTATCTTCCCAAATACTGGTTTGCAGACTGGCTTTATGGGAGTATCTGTGGACATGACCAGAAATATAGATTTCTAGGCTCCACACCAGACTTCCTAATCTGAATCTCTAGAGGGTAGAACCTTTAAATTTTTCTTTTAAACAAATTTCCCATTCTGATGTGAAGACAGTTCAGGGTATGTCATAGATGGCAATACTGTCTTCCATGATACTCATACTCTCCTAACATAATCTAAGATAAAAGTATGAATAAAATTTTATATCCTTTTCCTTTGGGAATGCTTGGTCTAAGAAAAATGACAAAATATCTACTTTTAAAAGAATACACAAATACACAAATGTTATGAGTAAAATACTACAAAAACCTTATGTTAGAATTGTTTTAATTCAAATGAGCTCATAACTATCACTGTACTATTTTCTAAGAAACAATAAAAAATAGTGAAAGTAAGCCCTGGGGAAAACATTCCAGCACCTTACAGGTATGGGAGTAGTTCTTAAATGATTCTGAGATACCTACCTGTGAAAAGGCAGTTAATATTTTACCATATTTCACTGATTCTAAAATTCATTTTTCTGTTTTTGCACTTTAACATCTCTGAAATTATGGATATACCATACAACTGGTAGCATCTCACAACTAACTGGCAGTCTTTTTTTCTTTTTTAGTAGTAATAGTGGGTCCTATAATCAATAGCATTTAAGGTTCAATAAAATAACTGTAAACACTAATTCAGCTGTCACCAAAGATAGTTCCTCTAGAAAAAACTCCAGTTAGGAAATAATCTGCTAGTCTGGTCTGAATTACATGGTATGAGAAGGTGGCAAACATATTTTTCATTTAAAAAAAATCTGAAATTATCAACTGAAGGTACTACCCCTCCCTTTTCCTCCATGACAGTCAGCCTGACAATTAACTGAAAAATAGGACCTAACAGAAAACATACTCAAGACTGTCATGTATGTAGTCACTATTTTCTGGGTCTCATTTGTATACTAAGGAGATGAACTCCAAGCCTCCTTTTAGCTCTTAAAGCCTACAATCCTATAACCTTAATTATTTAATTATTAATACTGAGCTCACCACAAAGTTTCTCATTTCCTCTTTTTCCTGACCCTAAATTAGCAGGCCATAAGAAAGTGGTCAATAGGTTTATTTTGTCTGTCAAACTGACATAGAAGAAAGAATGAGGCTTTAAAAAAGCAAAGTAGATCCTTGAAGAATAAGATGTTAAAACCCATCAGTACTTTTGGGAGTTCAGCTGAGAGGATGTCCTTAAACTACTTTTTGTTGTAAACCTTTTACTTTTTGCTACTAAAATACTATAATTTTTATCATAATCACACATTCTATGAATACTTTTTAAAAAATAGAGCATCAATTAACTGACTCACAAGGCTATTTTGATGATTTTATTTTTCTGGCCCTTCATATTGTTATTAAAAAAGAAAGCAAAAGAAAAAAGGGAAGAGTAAAATTTGCTTAGTATGAATATTTAGAGCCCCTAAGAAGCTTCTCGGTGGTCATGATTCATCTTTACATCTTTACTGCTTAGCAAAATGCCTTACACAGAAGGTTTCTAAATCAAACTGCTTTTGTGGACTGGTAATTTAAGTACAGGTATTATCTAGTGAATCCTAATTTATAACTGGTCAAATTATAATATTCAGGTTTGGTATAATGAAGCAGAACTCACTAAAAAAACCCAATTTCTTAGCATAATTAAAAAGTTCAGTTAATCTTATCCTAACATCTGCTTTAAAAAAGGCCTTATAAACCAAAATGATTGTTTCCTCAAAGTTCTAGATGATAGAATAAAGTAAGTATACAAGTACTTAAACTTTCGTTGATTCTTAGCCTTGCTTTACTAAGGGGGTGGTGGTGGGAAACAAGGCGGGGGAAGGAAAATAAAGTTGGGTAGATTTCTTAGCAGAAGGCAGATAAGGAAGGTGGACAACATTTTTTTTTAAATTCTGGATTGAATCTTATACAGAGTGATTTCACTGCTTTTTAAAAGCCAGGCACAGCTTTTGCTGGAAATAGATGAAAGAATCCCAACTCAAGAAGCCAAACATAAAATGTGTTGTTTTGGGATATGCAGTTCTGCTCTAACAATCGAAATTCATAGAAGACTTCAATGTCCTTTTCACAAAACATCACTCACGCTTTTGTAAGATACCCTACTTTCTGCTAAATTATGTAAAGTTGCTGGCTGCCTGATGATGCGTTGTTAAGTATATTAATTATTTATGTAGCTCAAAACTACAGGAGTAAAATAAAAAGAGCATCAGAAAGCAAGCAACAGTAATTACTCCAAACAATTAATGCCTCTTTCTGCCACTGTTGAAAAACTGCTTGAGTTGTTTAAATAGTGTAGAACTTTTCTTCAATACTAGAAATATATTTGATGTTTTAAAAAACCAATTAACAAACAAAAGAGGCATAAAAATCTCGAAAACTTTTAAGTTTCTGAGGTGTCAAACAACTTTTTCCACTGGTTAAGTTTTATGAATATTCAGATTTAGACAAACCAATTCTAAAGCTAAAATATATTTTAAAATAAATACCACAATTTCCTAGTTGTGTCATGGTTTATCTTCCACTAGTATGGAAGGTTTACTGCATCTTAATTTTAGCTGGCATCAAATTTTACTTAAAGTGGTTAAAAAAAAGAACTAGTAATGATGGGTGTATCTAATATTCTGAATACAATAAAATCCTGCAATAAAGCACCCTATGGCAAATGTAAATTTTGGTACATGATTGGCAACTGGTTTCTGTCTTCTGAACAGGCCTGCACTCTTACTTAAATGGGGGCAGTAAAATTCTTATTTTCTGCTGCGGGAAGGAATGAACAAAAGGCAACAATCTGGAGATACAGGAAGTTAGAAGGTGGGTACTTGTATTCCCAATATTCTCCTAGCTCAATCTCCCTGGATTGGGTTTATGAAACAAGGCACCATTAATTTCAAGAAATCCTGGAACAGCTGCTGTTTTCCTAGAAGTTCCAACAAACTCCAAGACCCAGAGTAGTTCATACAGATTATTTAAGTGGTTAAGAAAATACCACAATCAGGCAGTGCCATTCAGGGGCATTATGAGTGACCCAGCAGGAACTCTTACCAGCAACTCACGCTAAAGTGTCTAGATCACTTCAACTTCACAATAACCCAACTCTAAACTTTATGTTTAGAGTTTGTGAATTTTTGAATACCACTTATTATTCTATGGTATGATTTTATTGTACCACTCTTCCCAGTTAAGGCTTGACATTCATACTTATTACTGTCTCCACATTCCCCTTGTTCTTGTGTTCTAGTCTTTTCCCAACATCCACTTGTCTTCTGAATAGAGAAAAAACTTTTGGGGTTAGTTGTCGATATTTTGAAAATCTTTTTCAAAGACAAAGTGATCATTATTTAAGACAACCAATAGTTTGTGGGACGCATTTATAAATTTGGACAGGAATAACAAAAGTATAATATTTACATTTATAATACAAAATGTCCATGTGTTCCTAAACCATGTAATACATTTTTTTCAGAGTCACTTATAAAATGAATTCACTGAACTGTATTACAATCTCCCAGCATTAGGTATGTATTCTAGTACTAATTTTTAAGCATTAGCCCAACTTACCCGGACAAGTGCATCATCTATGATATGGTCACGTCTGACTTTGAGTCTCAAATATGGATTCAACTGCTGTCCTTGAACTAAGCTGTAGAGAACAGTGATTCTTCGTTCACTGTACATGCGAATTCTATTGTCATAATATAATCCCAAATTCTTTGTGACAGCATTCAATATAAAGGGACACGTCATGAAAGAGAATTTGTTCTCTGTTTCTACTTTGAAAAAAGTATAGTCTTTATCCATTTCTAGAACATCATTCAGTGGTTCATTAATAAACTCTTCAAAAGGGATAAGTGGTTTTCGACAGTCCAGAGTTTTAACACCAAGTTCAGTTTCCAGTGGGTCCACTCGAGGACCTTTCTTGTTTCTTCTTTCCTCTCCCAAAAGCTCCTGAAGTGTCAATTCACTTGACTCAGGGATGGGCTCTTCATCATCTTCTTCATTATGATTTGTGTCCACTTCCCCACCCACTACATTTGCATAGTAAACCATTTTCAAGCACTTTGAAGCAGCAACAATAGCATCATCATCATTCACTAGATTGCGACTGTTAAATTCATTGCTTATGACCTTGTAAGTAATAAGTTGCTGAAATGTTTCCATCATTCTGCGAATCTGGTCTGCACTGTATTTAGACCACAGTCTAACCAATTTTCCTTGGGCTGCAAGGGGTAGCTTACTCATTGCTTTGCAAAATAATGGCAAAGCCATTTCCAGATATTCAGGACTGTGGAGATTTCTATTCTCCATTACAATAATGAATAAATTCAGATAATTAGGATCTCGAGAGTATACATTGTGATATGTCAAGTCACATTCCACATTAGGTGACAAATATACAAGTGCATTGAGAAAAGCAGTTTCTATTTTTTCATTAGAGAGTAATCTGGTGTAGACCCTTCTAATGGCCTCAATATCCACAGACACATCATCAGGGCCTAATTTTTGTAAGTTGTTATCTCCTTGTGAACTATCACTTATCCTTGAAGAAGATGCTTCTGAATCTTCTTCCATAGCAGCAGCAGCAGAACATGCAGCTTTTTCCTTTTCATCCTCATCTTTGTCTTCATCCTTTCCTTGAAGAGATTTCAGTTCTTCCTTGGTGTGTTGCTTGACTTTCCGAAAGCTCTGTACCAATGCCTCAGCACTAGAAAAAACTCTTCCAATAACACGGATTAAAGGGGAATAATCCTCTCTCTCTCTACATAATTCAAGAATTTCATATACCGTATCTTCTGTTAGGTAAGTCACATCTAGAAAATTAAAGAAAAAAGGAGAACATTTATTTTTTAAGTATGTTTACTTTGTCTTAATAAGTTCTAGTGAAAAGTAAAATAGCCAAAACATTTTGTACTCAATACCATTTATGATGTACAGCTCTTTTAAAATGTATCTAATACTTAGATTCAACAAAATATATTTTATCTATTTCTTTCCATGAAATAACAGAAACAACCTCACCCATTCTTTTACATTCTTTCATTAATACACAGCATTTAATGAGTTTAAACTCTTTTCATAATCACAGTAGACTACAGCTTTAATTTGTAAATATGTGAACCAAGCCATCATGTGATTTGACTCATCACACCTCTTTACAACCTCACTTTAGAGAAGAAACACTGTTCTTCTGAGAGGTTTCTTCCTTATTTCACTACTCTGTTCTCAAAAGACTGAGAAGGCAAGAAAGGTTCCTTCAGTATTCTCTTTGATAAACCACCCTTGTCTTACTTTTGTATTATCTGAAAATCAAACTGGTTCCTTTGGAGTCTTCATTTTTAGCTTTTTTGCAGGGTGGTTATTCTGTGGGTGATTGACAAGAATTAATACACCGTTTCTCATAAAACCTGAAGTTGACAAACACTGCCATCTGCAGCCAGGAATCAGGTTGCAACAAACCTTACAGAGTAACAGGAAATAGTTACGGGGTCAAGCCAAGGCTTTTCCTTCTGGCTAATGGGGTGATGCTCCCAGAATGCTCTGGAAGCTATGTGTTAAAAGTAATAATGTCACTACAGCTGCATTTCTGAATGACTGTGTGAAGCAGAATTTTGCCAACCTAGAATATCATGGCTGTCAGATGAGCTAGAAATAAATTTCCACTTTGTTTAATAAGCTAGTGCTCTTTCTAGTATCTACTTAATACTGCAGTCTAGTTGATCCTTACTTAATACAGAAAGAAGCTTTTCAGCTTTTTCCATCTTGCCTTCAGAGTCTTTAAAACACCAGTAATGACTGTCCCTCTAAATTAAGCTTAATCTTTCTTGGTACTTTTCTTGTATATATAAAAATTTTATAAGGAAGATAAGCTGTTTTTGCACTTAGTTACCATTGTTTTTGCTGTCTGTAGTACTTAAATCCAAGGTAGTTTTAGTATGTTTTTCTATTATATCCGTTCTCCCCCATTAAGAAATAACCCTATAAGAGGCAAAAATGACAGGAGGCAAGGAAAAGCCAGACCAAATATCAATTTATTACACATTTTCAGAATTACAGTAATGTTAATAAATTGAAATTCAAATGAAATCAAAGAAGAAACAAAAAGAACATTTCAAGAATTTTGGAGATAAAAATCTCTGGAGACAGGGACTACTGCTGTGGTGAAAGTCTGTAGCAGTTTGCTGGCATGCATCTTACTTCCTCTCACATCTGTCTATAAATAGTAACTTAGACCTCCATTATCACCTTTTCAAATATTTTTATATTTGCCATTATTCTCTTTCAGACAAAACCAGATAAACATATGGCTCTCATTCTCTTCACCAACAAAAATTAAATCTGTACATATATCCCCTTGAGAGGAATGAAGAATAAGTCTGGAGATTATAGAATGCATAAGCTTAATTAAAAGGGAACCCCAATGGATGAAACACATTAGAACAACAAAGAAAACTCCAAGTGTGTTCCCTCTCTTATGCTTTGTTTACTCAAACACACAAAAAAGAATATTAACATGCTCTTTTCTAAAATTCTAAGTTGTCATCTATTTAAATGTTAATTTATTTCATGCAGTTTAATCTGAGCTTTCATAATGCTTGACTTTTTCACAGCACTGAGTGCAGTGATTAAGAGGAAACCATGTAAAACATTCCATTCAACTCCATCTCAACGCTTGGGGATATTAGACAATTGACAACTCACAGATTCAACACATCAAATAATAGAACTCCCTGGTACTTACCATGAATTTCAATTTAAAAAAGGAAAAAAAAACATTTTAAAAATTAAAATTAGCTTAGCTATAAATGTACTCAATTCTCATGATCTACCATCAAAACAAAAGCAAAAAAAAAAAAACAAACCCACACTTCATTTTCTCACTTATAATCTGAGATAGGCTAAATAATCACAAAATTGCACCTTACCAAAGCTGCGAAATCTACCTTGACAACACTATTTTTTCACTTATGACTTGCATGAATATCAGGTTAACTGGGGATAACAATAAATTGTTTTTGTTTTTTTTTTTTTAATTTTTTTTTTCAACGTTTATTTATTTTTGGGACAGAGAGAGACAGAGCATGAACGGGGGAGGGGCAGAGAGAGAGGGAGTCACAGAATCGGAAGCAGGCTCCAGGCTCTGAGCCATCAGCCCAGAGCCCGACGCGGGGCTTGAACTCACGGACCGCGAGATCGTGACCTGGCTGAAGTCGGACGCTTAACCGACTGCGCCACCCAGGCGCCCCATAAATTGTTTTTTAAAGGTCAAACAAGAACACAAATGACTTGTATTACAAATAAAAATAAGGAAATAAAAATATTCTGATCCTACAAACAACTTCATTAATAAAAGAGGTGGAAATATCCTTTAAACATTAGATAAATAAATTTCACTTTAAAAATCAACTCTATGACCTGTTGTAATAGCTAAAGGAAGAATGAACTCTCTGGGCAAAGATAACTCAAAAGCTTGAAAGCTTCATGTTATCTGTGTGTATAAATGTGTTTTTGTGATCCCTAATGACTATCACATGTCTGGTATTATTTAAAATACTCAAATGTTGGTAGACAGGTAAGGCTAACCAATAACTAAAAGGATATGAAACTATTAATGACTGACTAGTGTACGTCATTCTCAACTGATTATAAAGATGTCATTCAATGCTGGATAGTACACTCAAGAGTTTTGTGCCCTGAGTTATACTAGTTTAGTTTACATGAATATGTCAACTTAAATTAAAAAAAAATTTTTTTTTTTAATGTTTATTTATTTTTGAGACAGAGAGAGACAGAGCATGAATGGGAGAGGGCCAGAGAGGGAGGGAGACACAGAATCGGAAGCAGGCTCCAGGCTCTGAGTTGTCAGCACAGAGCCCGACGCGGGGCTCGAACTCACGGACCGTGAGATCATGACCTGAGCCGAAGTCGGACGCCCAACCGACTGAGCTACCCAGGTGCCCCGTTAACTTAAATTTTCTACTGAGATTATTTCTAACTCCAAATTAGAATTATTAATCATTCTGTATCTAAAAGGTGATCTTCTGAAACTGTGGTCTTCTCTAAACATGCTGTCATAACAGAAACTGTAAAAACTAAACACTTAGTATTCCAATCTTCATTTATATCTGGAGAATAGCATGTGACACAGGTCTGCCAATTACCTAAGTGGAAGTCTACTGGTGAACTTCTGATGGCTAATTTTCCTGATAAATAGGGGCAGCTATGATTAACTCACGTTGTGAGTACAACAAAAATCTCCTAATTTTTAGTAGTAGATATACTAATACACCTATAGTTTCCTTTATGGGTTTTAACTCTTTAAGAGTTAATCCTCAGGTTTGTTCCAGGATACATAGGAGTGCTTTTCGAAAGTTTCCATTAGGCTACTTTGTTTACACAAAGAAAGTTAAAAAGCAAAAAAAAAAAGAGTTTGTGTTATTTTGTGTTAAGAGAGAGGTTATTTTTTGGGTAAGAGAACCTCAAAATTTTTTCTATAGAAACTAATGATAATCACTTCTTCACTTATTATATGCCATTTTGGCTCATGAAAGGTTTCATAAGAATGCTCTATTTTCAGATAGTGGGGAATTCTGCTTAACATCAGTAATCTCTTCCTGAAAAGTATGAAACTGTTAACTGGAAGCTTATTTCCCATTATTTCCATTGGAAACAAAATTTAACATCTTACAAGACAAAACAAAACCCCTATCTAATTTCCTAAAATGTAACCAAAACAGAATACCTATTATAACTACCTTGCTAGGACCTAAAAACTCTGCTTCCTATTCATCAAATCATAAACTTATTAACAAAGAGTTGTTTTGCATGCAGTAACATGAACTATCTTAAGGGACAGCAACATTCTAGACCCACACACCCTTTTTGTTGACATGCTGTTCAGAACATCTTCAAGTGAATCAGACATTCTACTAATTCTATATAATGTATAATATAAAATGTATCAATTTCCCTACACAGAGTTTTGTTTAAAATGTTGAACTGAGGGGACACCTGTGGCTCAGTAGGTTAAGCCTCTGACTTTTCAGCTCAGGTCAGGATCTCGTGATCCCGGGTTCGAGCCCCCTCATCGGGCTCTGTGATGACAGCTCAGAGCCTGGAGCTTGCTTCAGATTCTGTGTCTCCCTTTCTCTATCCCTCCCCTGTTTGTACTCTTTCTCTCTCAAAAATAAACGTTTAAAAAAATTAAAAATTAAAAAAAAATTTTAAACTGAACTGTTTTTCAGACATAAATTAGTTAAAAAAATTATAATTAGAGATATAAGCATTCACAATGTTTAAAAAGAGATGCTCTACTAAGAAAATGTTAAATGAAAGAACATTCCCATAGGGTATACCAGTATATTTTGTAATAAATAGATGTGTGTTCCTGAAAATACATTCTGTAAAATTTTATACTTAAGAAAATTTTTATACAAAAACAGAGTTTGGGGCAAACTACTAAATATGTATAGAACTAACAAATATAATTAACAATAAAAAGTACTAGTGTAGTTAATGCATTTGTAATTCCTCATAGAAAAAAATATTGTAGGAAATATAGAAAGTTGCAGAAAAAAGGGAGGAGCAGCAGAGAGAGTAACGTATTGGGAGAAAGTACAAGGAATTGATAAATTACATAGACGAGCAAAAACAGGGATAAACATTCAATAACACCTACAATGAAACACATAACCAAAAAGATGTGTCCATCTGCCCTGTACCATAATCCCCATGGCTAGCTGTATTCAACTGCACCAGCACATTTACATTTAGTAATTGCTACTCTGTGGTGCACACTTAATGGGGAAATGGGTATGGGGGGTCTGGGTGGCTCAGTCAGTTAAGTGTCCGACTTGGGCTCAGGTCATGATCTCGTGGTTCATGCGTTCGAGCTCCATGTTGGGCTCTGTGCTGACAGCTCAGGGCCTAGAGCCTGCTTTGGATTCTGTGTCTCCCTCTCTCTCTGTTCCTCCCCAACCTGTGCTCACTTGCTCGCTCTCTCTCTCTCAAAAATAAACATTAAAAAATTTTTTTTTCTAAATGGGGAAATGGGTATAATGGAGTCAATGCAACTTCCACATTGTACACACTGACAACATTCACCTACTTATTCACACTGTGTGAGCTAATTCATGTAAGAACCATGCATTTAGGAGCAATAAAGTGGTATAAAGTTATGAAATTAGTTATACTATGAAATTAGACTAAAAGATATAATACAATTCCATATCACCAATTAAACTTGCATTCAAATCATGTTACTGAAAACTTTTGAGGTGTTCTCCAACTTACACGTCTTAAACAAAAAGCTTCCTTTTTTTAAAAAAAATTTTTTTTTTCAACGTTTATTTTTGGGACAGAGAGAGACAGAGCATGAACGGGGGAGGGGCAGAGAGATAGGGGGACACAGAATCGGAAACAGGCTCCAGGCTCTGAGCCATCAGCCCAGAGCCTGACGCGGGGCTCAAACTCACGGACCGCGAGATCGTGACCTGGGTGAAGTCGGACGCTTAACCGACTGCGCCACCCAGGCGCCCCCAAAAAGCTTCCTTTTTAAAAATACCTCTGGTAGGTATTATGCACACTGTCAGTTATTTAGAAATTCAACTACTTTGTTACTAACATTGATTATCTTCACTGAGGAAAAGAAAGCTTGGATTTGAAGGTTAAAAAAAATTTTTCTTTAAACAATTTTGGAATACAGGATCATTTAGAAAACAAAGGCTTGGGTAAAGAGTGCCATTAATAAGTAGGTGATGATTCTTGGCAGCATGAGTGTACCAAATCCCGAGAAGAAGCTGAGCAGGATATGGGAAGAATATTAGAAAGAAAAACTGAATTATTTCTCAAGTAACAGCTACAAAATTTTGCTGTGCCCTCAGAAATGGAAAAGACTGCCACCACTTCTTTCTGCTTCTTTCACCTAATAGTGCTCAGGTTCCACAATTCATTCCAGATATTCAGTCCAGCTATTTGATAATTTCATTAGATTCTATAGCCTAGTTTAGGAGACTACTACTTAGGAAAAATGTTCAAAAGTTCCAATCAATCTATTAAAGAAACTTTTGGAATTTAATCTGCTTCTCATTAGAGACCATTAGAACTATAAAATGCAGTCAAATAATTAGTTCAATTATTAGTTTGTCCTTTGCCACAATAAATATATATATATATATACAGTGGTAAATAAATACCACTATACTAATACATCTTAATGTCACACAATTAGACAAAACAAGTAAGAACCTCACAAATTATTTAAATCTCCAATCTGGTTTTTCAGTCAAAAGTTCCCAAAAATAGAACATCTTACCTCTAAAATCATCTCTTGCTCCTTGTCCTTCCTTCTTGTTCATTTTTATGTCAGAGCAGGAGTTGTTAGGGGCACCTTTCGAGTTTTCAAGGTAAGCTGAGCTTGCTCCTTTCTTGGAGGGATGAGGATCACAGAGTTTTGCATTAATCTTATAAAGCTCGAGGGCTTTAATAGCTGCTGCATTGTTATCCATACGAAGAAAAGTTGGACAGGAAGCACAAAACTCATTCGTGCAGGCCTCATTTCCACAGCCCTCAGTTAACTGGTGGTAGTAGCGTTCTATTAGATGCTTTGCAGCTGCTCGCTTCCTGTGGCAAACATTCAAACAATGAGCACAGTGATTAAGATTAGTATAGCTCTCATGTAAAAAGCTCAACAGATCATAAGGCAAGGCAAGTTAGTCAAGCACTGAAGTAAAAAACTGGCAAATTAAGATGAGGTTTAGAAAATGGAGATCCACTATTTACATAAATAAAACTTTTAACTAGATAAATGCTAAGATACTATGATAAAGAACAGCAGGGACACCTGGGTGGCTCAGTCGGTTAAGCATCTGACTTTGGCTCAGGTGAGGATCTCACGGTTCGTGGGTTCGAGCCCCACGTCGGGTTCTGTGCGGACAGCTCAGAGCCTGGTGCCTGCTTCGGATTCTGTGTCTCCCTCTCTCTCTCTGCCCTTCCCCCATTCACACTCTGTCTCTGTGTCTCTCAAAAATGAATAAACATTAAAAAAAATTAAAAAAAAAAAAAAGAACAGCAATATTTATCAAAATCGTTTTAATAGATTATGCTTTTCTTTGGCTTAAAAAAGTGTGTGGGGGGGACTTTATTCGATGGTATATATGCTTAAACTGTTTAGCACAACGGATGAAAATCAGAAGGTTTATGGCCAAGAGTTTTGTATTTTATCACTTTAAACAACTGACATTAAGAAAATAAGAGTCTAGTTAAAAGTATCAATCCAGCTTTCCTTTATATAATTACTATTTTAACAATTTATAAATACTAGATTAATAGTTAACAAAGAACTTCTATCTGGAACAAAAAAGTTTTTTCCTCCAATTATCTACCATATGAGGGATTTAAAAATAACCTATAAATGAAATAGCCAAAACTGTGTTATACTCCAAGAAAATGATTCTGAGCATACAATCCTGAACCCAAAACATGTCCTTGAACTTGCTCCTTAATCCCATGTCACAGAAACCTAGAATATTTTAAGTTCCCGTAGGGCAAAATTTTATGTTCCATTTACTTGTGAAGTTAAAGTATGTAGATTAACATTCTTAACTGGCTGTTCCAGCAGAGCTTCCAAAGATACTGAGGAAGAGATTATTTCATCAAGCAAGGAGCTGGACTACAATATCTATCTCTATGGTTTATTCAACTCTAAGATCTATGCTTGTACTGTCTGATGATGTGAGATTACCATAATTTAAGGAAAGCAGTCTACATCCAAAGAAACAGAATTCACAGCTATTCCTTTTGGTCTCAAATTCACATGCATGGGAATAAAAACTACAAGTAATCAAAACCATAAAAAAAAGAAATTACCTAACTCTCAAAATGTTCCTACAATTACCTTACTAACATGTAAGACTAAATGGCAAAGGACAGTAGGGTTCACATTTTGTTAATTGTGAGATACCTCTTGTTCATCATGAGAAACTGAACAACAAGGCAAATGAACAGTAGATAAGGGACATACTAATTAAGTCGAATTCTGTCTCAAAAGTAGGACTTAGTCCCTAAACTAAGTGACAAAGACTAGCACAATTAACTCTTGAACAATGTTGGCATTAGTGGTGCAAACACTTTGCAGAGTTAAAATCTGCAAGTAACTTTAGATGCTCTCATAACTTAACTACAAACAGCCTACTATTGACCAGAAGCCTTACCAATAATATAAAGAAGTGATTAACACATATTTTGTATGTTACATGTATTATATATTTTTACATTAATGTAAGCTAGAGAAAATAAAATATTAAGAAAATCGTAAGAATACATTTACAGTCAATATGTGAGTTTAAAAAAACCCTCATGTAAGTGAATGCAGTTCAAACCTACGTTGTTCAAGGGTCAACTGTAACTCAAAAACACTCATTTTGATGCATCTATTTTTTAAATGTGCCATGCAAATTAATGCATACAGAGAAAGAAGACAAACGTAAAACACACACTTAAAATTTTCATCAGCAGCACTTAGTTATTTTAGATGTAGCTACAAACAATCCAACTTTTGAAAATTAAAGATTATGCCAGATATGTCACTATGCAAAATATTAAAGTGACATGTAAAGAGAAATATAGCCTCAAGAAGATTTATACCACCATCTCCCAAAATATAGTAGCTTTCCCTAGTGAAAATGTAAATAGGTATGTATGTATTTCTATTCTGGAGGAAAATTATTGACACAAAGTTAAAAATGAAAAATCAGAAATCAAGTGAAATTAACTGGAAAACTGCAAAAATGCATTGTTTCTGTGAAATTTGGAAAAAATGAAATGCCCATTTACATAATATGGGATTACTTAAATGAACTGCAACAATTCACATAATGGAATAAATGAAATTACCAAGATCTGAATTTGGCAAGGAATAGTCTTCTTCATTCATCACTAATTGACAAAAGTCAGTTACAAAGTTTTAAGTTTAAGATGAGGCCACTTTTATTTCAAAGTGTTAACAGTCATTTTCTCTAACTGATGTTGACTGAATGGGTTTTTTGAATTCTTCCATACTTTGCTTCTAATTTATTTTTTCTATAATAAACATGCTACTTGTATATTAAAAATAAATACAAATGAGGAAACGTTAACAGCTTTATAACTTCATATACATGATTTAAAGAGCCTCAAGATTTATTAAATTGTCCCTATGATTTTTTTAGTAGTTAATTACAAAATTCAAAATACCACTCTTATTATTTTCCTTAATAAGAGTGTCATGTTTTGTTCGAAGAAAAGTCCCCCCAAAACTCAGCCATATTACATAATGCTTCTGTATGTAATGCATAAAGGAGTGTGAACAGTAAAAATAGGACAAGACTGAGAAATTAGAAGACCTACATTAAGTGATAGCTCCTTTTGCCTCTAATTACCTATACAGTTCTGAATGAGTAGTTCTCTGGGCCTCAGTTCTCCCATCTTAAGATTCCCTTCAGTACTAAGGTTTAGGTTATGCTATGTAATAGCAGGTGAACAAGGTACTAGTATTTGATGAGTGTCTGATAACATACTAGACATACTGCTAGGCACTCTGGCGTAGGTTATCTCATTTGAATCCCATTACTTTGAGGATTATCTTCAGTTGACAGCTAAAAGACAATTAAAAGAGTAAAATTATGTAACCAAGATCACACAAAGGAAAATGCAGAATCAGGACAAAAACAGGAGTCAGGGGTCTTCTGGCTCATTTCCACTATACTGCCTCACAGAAAGGGATTCATTTCAAAACAATTCTTAAGAATAGTAGCACTAATGACTCTAATGGGGGAAAAAAATCCCAGGAATAATATGTAATTGAAAAAAGCAAAAAACCTGAAAAAATCAAAATCTGAATCTCATATTTATGCATACCTGCTATCTCATAAGTACACTAAGTTTTTTGAAGAGATACCAAAATATTCTGTAAAGTTAATATATCTACAATTTCTTGAAAACCTATATGCTACAGATGTTCTCACCTTAGAAGGCAGTAAAGCCTAGCAGTTAAGAGCTCGCACTATGAAGCCAGACTGCCCAAGTTCACATGTTGGCTCTGACACTTATTAACTATGTGGCCTTGAATGATTTACTGACAACATTTCTGTGTCTCAGCTTCTTCATCATTAAAATGATGGTATACAATTACCATGGCTGTGAGAGAATTAAATGAGTTAATATACATAGTTAGAACACTGCCTGGGATATAGTAAGTGCCATGTGTTAGCTGCTATTATTGTTATGACTAAGATCCTCGTAAGCTTATGAATTGGCTAGATAAACTATCATTCTGCTGATGCTCAGAGCAGTTACATCACAAGTCACACATCTGATAAGAGATTTGAACCCAGGCTTGACTCAAAAACTTGGGTTTTAAATACCACTAAGGGGAGATTTAATACCAGACAGGGGAACGTAGCCCTCTCTATTCAGTCTGCTTCTCTGCCCGGGACATACAAATAGCAGCTACACAGCTGAAACAGGACTGAAAGGAGGCCATGCCAGAACCTCCAGGTTATCAGTGGAATCAACCATTTTAAACATTTTTCTTCTTTCCTCACACCAATGACACCCTGAATTATATCTGTCCAATTCTGTATCCCCATCTAATAGAGCATTAAAAAAGACTTCTATGTTGGCAATGTGTACACTAATAATGACATTTTTATAAGTAACTTGTACAAGGTTAATCCCTATACAGTAGGAGTCACCAAATCATAGCTTGTGGGCCAAATCTAGCCTGCCATAAAAAACAAACAAACAACCATAAAGTCTTATTAAAACATAGCCAAGCTCAATAATTTATATATCGTCTATGGCTGTTTTGCACTACAACAACAGAGTTGAGTAGTTTTAAAAGAGATTGTATGGCTTGTAAATCCTAAAATAAATACCACCTGGCCCCTTACAGAAAAAATTTCCCAACTCTTAATTTAGAGTCTGTGTTCCTTGCTCTCCAGTGACATTTCCTTATCATCACATGGTCGGATCACTCTTTCCCCTCAACAAATCAATGCAGCAAAATATGTACTTTTCCCCAACTATGATTAAAAGAGAGAGAAAGAGAGACAATGGAAGGAGAAGAGAAAAAAAGGAAGGAAAAAAAGGAGATAACAAAAAGGAAAGAAACGAAGAGAGATCCTTCCTTAACCAGACCCCTCTAGTGACCCCTATCTGCTATTCATAATCAAAACTACAATACGGGCTAGGGCTTATTTTTTTTTAAGTTTTTATTTAAATTCCAGTTAGTTAACATACAGTGCAGTATTAATTTCAAGTGTACAATAGAAGGATTCAACACTTCCATACAACACTTGGTGCTCATCACGAGTGCACTTATAAATCCTGACCACCTATCCCCTCCACTCACCTCCCCTCTTGTAACCATCAGTTTGTTCTCTATAATTAAGAGTCTGTTTCTTGGTTTTCCTCTCTTGCAATGCCTCCCCCCCCATGTTTGTTTTGTTTCTTAAATTCTACATGAGTGAAATTATATGGTATTTTGTCTTTCTCCAGCTGACTTATTTCACTTAGCATAATACTCTCTAGCGCCATGAATGTTGCTGCAAATGGCAAGATTTCATTCTTTTTTATGGCTGAGT